AAAAAAAAAAAAAAAAAAAGTCGTCCCCAAGTCAAATAATCTTCTCTACAGTAAGTCATCTTCAGTTGACATCATCTCAAAACATCTCCAATTCCAATCATCGCAAAAAAAGGTATCTATATCTCTGTCTTTTTTTCTTCTTTTTTTACAAAAAAATGTTCTTCACTCTTTGCGTGTGTGTTTTCTTATCAATTAATTAAGATTCATTCACTTCTGTTTTCAATTCACTTCATCTTCATTTTCAAATAATCTCCACGTCACTTCATTTAAAAAATTTAATTCATCTTCTATTCGAAAAAAGCCTCACTGCTAAAATCCGGCGCGGCGATCGTGCGAATCATTTAAAAAATTCCAATTGCAAATCGTGCCCAAATTCAAATCATCTCAGTTCATCTTTAATTCCCATAATCTTCAATCCTCTTCTCCATTCTCTTTTTTTTTTTTTTTTTTTTTTTTTTTTGAACTCCATCTATTGGTGGGGAGCATCACCTGCTGGAAAACGGGTATCCATCTCTTCCGGGTTGAATTGTGAGGTCCCCAGGGCCCAGTCCCACTAGCAACGCGTGAATCTGGACGCTTTTGCGGAGATGTGCAGAAATGGTGTTGAGTTTCCTGAACTGCACGTCTCCACAAACACGTCCAGATTCAGGCGTCAACGCTGCTAGTGGGACTTGGCCCCCAGTGTCATCTTCCATATCCAAAGCAAGACAAAGCATCGCATTGTCCAAAAAAAAAAAAAAAGGAAAAAAAAGGTCCAAATATTAAAAAAAAAAGAGAGAGAGAACTCCTCTGTGAAAGGAGAAGAGGGTTTAATCCCCGGGGGGGGAAAAGGAGAGGCTTAGGTCCTTCGTGACAGCCGTTAAAATTGGAACGATACAGAGAAGATTAATTAGCATGGCCCCTGCGCAGGGATGATACGCATAGACCGACAAATGGTCCAAATTAATGGAAAAAAAAAATTGTTGGAAAAAAGAACAGAAAAGAAAAGAAAACTCCTCTGAAACTGTTCAGCTGGAGCTGCTGCCACGTGGCAAGTAAGGTTTTTTTTTTTTTTTTTTTGCAACTCGCAAGCGTAAAATGTAGACGTGTCCCTTCCTAAAACCCTTTAAAAAAAAAAGGAAAAAAAAAAAAAACTCCCTCAAGTCCTTCGGCACATCCGTTAAAATTGGAAAGATACAGAGAAGATTAGCATGGCCAACGAGAATAAATAAATAAATAATAATGAAAATAATAAACAATCTAAACTCGTTGCCGTTTGTCCTCGTGATGCTTTGTGCTTTTGTCTGTCTCAGCGTCTGGTTTCCCCCGACAGATTCAAAATGAAACCTGACCAGGTACAGCCGGTGCCCTGGGAATGACTCCTCCTCCACAGCCACTGGGCCACGTGGGCCTGACGTCGCGGTCGATCATTGGTTCTTCACTCACGCTGGATTGGTGCCACGTGGCCGCTGTGCAGCCGTACGTTGTCTTGCATGACCCGATGCTACCTGTAGTTGACAGTCCAATCCTTCTTCGCTTCGTCCCAGGAGGATCCACGTGGCATCATCAGCAGCGGAAGTAAAGAAGAGGGAGAGAGAGGAGAGAGGAGAGAGGAGAGAGAGGAGAGAGGAGAGAGGAGAGAGGAGAGAGAGGAGAGGAGAGAGAGGAGAGAGAGGAGAAAGGAGAGAGAGGAGAAAGGAGAGAGGAGAGAGGAGAGAGAAGAGAGGAGAGAGGAGAGAGCGGGGGAAAAAGAGGGGATAGGAGAGAAGAGGAGAGGAGAGAACAGGTTTGCCAAATTTGTGTGGGAAGAGGAGAGGAGATGGTACAGGAGCTGAGGAGGAAGGGTGTTCCATCAGTCATGATGAGTTTGTACCCTGGTACAGATGGATTGAGATGGGTACAGATGGATTGAGATAGGTACAGATGGGTTGAGGTGGTATAGGAGCTGGGCTGAGGAGATGAGATGAGACAAGAAGAGATCATTGGTGGGAGACTAAACATTTCCAATGTTAAGGGGAGCAGGCAGGTCATGAGGGCAAATCCTGATGCTCCTATAAAAAAATCTCTGCTCTCAAAAATCCCCGTTCTCGGGGTGTAGTTAACCGGGATTGCGGCTGGGTGCATGCAACAGCAATCTATGTAGGTGCACTGCGTTTTCTGGTTTTTTTCTGCAGATACAGCTCTCCTCTTTCTTTAATTTTTAATTTTTATTTTTTTTGTTTTCCATTCATATAGGTTCTCTCTTTTCTTTTTTTTTCCTTTTTTAATTCACCTTTCACTATCTACCTACTATACCGTTACTCCGATTAGAGAAGGGGGGAGGGGCGGGGGGGCCAACATGCAACATGCATCTCCCTACTTGTGAGAGAGGTACCTATCCTATGCTTGCAGGGGTCCCTCTGTGAGTGTCCCACCAATTTACAAAGAATTTCATTATTGTATACAATGTATATAGTCTCTCTTTTTGTTTGTCTAGTTCTCATTAATGAATATACCAAAGAAAATATAGGATATAGTGTATACCAATACTGAAATTCTTTGTGAATTGGTGGAACACTCTCTAGCAACCTTCTAGTATTAGGCCATACTACTCACACTAGAAGATTTTCCTGGATGTATATGACCACGTTTCCGACACCGTTGATGAGTGCACTGAATGCACCGGACCCTAATTATGTCCACGTTCATGGAGAAGTGGAAAAGTCTTAGTGCCAGGACACCCCTTTTTTCAGCCAATTTGGTCGTAATTCGAGAGGTCCACAGAGAAGTGGAAGAAGTCGTAGTTGTGTGAGTAGTACTGAGTACCCCCTTAGCGAATTTTGGGGGTGCATTTTTTTTTTCTTCTTTCGATCAATACAATAAGGTTTTAGGGGTTCTAACCCCTTCAAAACACAACCATTTCAAAAAAAAAAAAAAAAAAAAAAAAAAAAAAAAAACAGAAAGGGGAAAAACAAAGATATCCTGATGGATTTCAGCAAGGTTATCGGTCAGACGGTGCGTCAGATAAAGCGGGAGGTGAACAAGAAGGTTCTTAAGCTGCCGGAGATCGAGCAGAAGGTCCTCGAAGCGACAAGCAACGAGCCTTGGGGCCCTCATGGGACCTTAATGGCCAACATTGCCCAAGGAACCCACAACTATGGGGAGTACCCTTTGATCATGGCCATACTTTGGCGGCGAATGGCTGATACAGGAAAGAATTGGAGGCATGTGTACAAGTCACTGCTGCTGTTAGAGTACATGGTCGGCCATGGGTCGGGGAAGGTAATCGAGGAGATAAGGGACAATATGGCACGGGTAAGGAGCCTGCTCGATTTCCAGTACGTGGAACAGAATGGGAAAGACCAAGGCGTAAATATTCGGAAAAAGGCGCAGAGTCTCATTGGCCTGGTGTCAGATAAGGAAAAGGTTCGAGAGGTACGGTACAAAGCGGCGGCGAATAGACAGAAGTACAGAGGGACGTCCTCCGTTGGCGACATCCACATGCCAGGGACTTACGGTGGTGGCTCACCAAGGGCAGATCAAGGACCCTATAGCAGTGGCAGATACTCGAGGGTTGACGATAGATGGGAAGGAGCAGATAGATATGCTGAGGCGAGCAATGCAGAAAGAGGGGGGGGCGGCGGCAGCAGCAGCGGTGGTGGAGGAGGAGGAGGAGGAGGAGGAGGAGAGTTCACAAGTCAAAGTGAAGAGCGTGAGTGGTACCACGACAGGGAGGACGACAACAAGTCGGAACCCGATCGTCATCGTGACAAGTTGCGTGTTCGACCCTTCGAAGACCGAGATTCCCCCTCTTCTTTCAGAGGAGGGGACCGCAGGGGCGCTAATGATGACAAAGACAACTTCGAATCCGATTATAATCGCAACAAGTCACCTGTTCGATCCTTCGAAGATCGAGATTCCCCGTCTTCTTTCAGAGGAGGGGACCCTCGTGATAAGTCACATGTTCGATCCTTCGAAGACCGAGATTCCCCATCGTCTTTTAGAGGAGGGGACCTTCTCGACAAGTCACATGTTCGATCCTTTGAAGACCGAGATTCCCCCTCTTCTTCCAGAGGAGGGGACCGTCGCGACAAGTCGCGTTTTCGATCCTTCGAAGACCGAGACTCCCCCTCTTCTTTCAGAGGAGGAGACCATCATGACAAGTCGCACGTTCGGTCCTTTGAAGACCGAGATTCTCCCTCTTCTTTCAGGGGAGGGGACCGTCGCGACAAGGTGCAAGTTCAATCCTTCGAAGACAGAGATTCCCCCTCTTCTTTCAGCGCAGGGGACCGTCGCAACAATTTGCAAGTTCGATCCCTCGAAGACCGAGATTCCCCCTCTTCTTTCAGAGGAGGGGACGATGGGTACCCTAATGAGGACGAAGCTCAAGGTGCTCAACAACGTCGCTCAGAGTCATCCAGGAGTAGAGGGAATGCCAGAGGGTCCACAAGCCAGAAAGAGGCATCGCGCTCGCCTCCCAGTTATGAAGGAGCTACGCTTATGTTGGTGCCGCAGTCAGGGGCAGCGCACTACGGATTGGGACAAGATGAAGCGGTTATGATGCAGGCTCAGAAGTCGCCCAGTGGAAGTGCAAGCGCTCGTGGGACTCGGTTTGCAGAGAGGTCTGATTTTGACTTTGACCCTCGAAGAGGTGCCCTCGGTCGTGGCTCAAGGGCTGACGAAGCCTCTCCTACCGGTAGCTTATCCATTGCGCCATCGCCCGAAGGCTGGAGCAACGGAAATCGAACGCCAGTGGGTAATCTGTTTGGGGAGTCCCAGTTCCGAGCCACTCCTTCCCAAGCAATGGCTCCGTCCGAGTCCCCTGCTGTTCAGGGTGGGTTTGCAAATGGACCAGGGGGAGGGGGTGGGAACACAGGTCTAGCAGTAGGAGTGGTAGTAGGAGGAGGTGCTGCTAGCATATCTCCTGCTCCTTTTCAGCCCGATGGCAAGTTTGCAGCTCTCCCGGAGAGCACAGGAATGACCGGCAAAACTGCGCTAGGTGTGCCAGCAATCATTCCGATTGGGACACTGGGGACTGGTCCTATGCCGGTGGTTCCAGGTCCTGTTCTAGGTACTGTGCCCGTTACGCCTGGAAGAGTGAACCCAGGTGCTACAACACCTTCCTCATTGCCTGTGGCAAGCAGCACTTTAAAATCTGCAGCCATGCCTCTTGCCCCATCGCCGGGTGTGAGCAGCCCGCCATCTGCTGCTGGGCCAGCCACTGGGTCTGCATCAATGAAGCAACAGGCCTCTGGTGACGCTTCCACCTCATCGGCATCTACAGCAGGGCCTGGCACGCCTGCCAATGCGGCAGCGTCTGGGACAAAGAAACATCCCGCTCTTTGGGCCGACGCACTAAGTGTGGGACTCGTCAACCTCGATCTCAAACCCTTCAAGGAGCTTCCAAAGTCCGACGTTGCAAAGAGGACTGATTCCAGTACGACGGCGGCTAAGCAGAAACTAGCCGGGACCACCTGGAGTTTAAAACCTCTCCCAGGATCTGCAGAGGCAGGCCTGGCCATGCTAACAGCCGCTGGATCTTCGCCACGTCCACAGCCAGCAATGGATCGATCATCGCCACGACCACCGCCGCAGGCACAGAATCCGAAGACGCCAACATCACCTGTGCCATCTCCTGTGGCAGCTGCCAGCCCATCTCAGAGTAGGGCCATGCCTCCTGGTGAAGGAAAGGGCATTTAGCAAAAGAGGACGGGGTGGGGGGGGGGGGGGGGGGGGGGGGGGGGAGGGGGGGGGGGGGGGGGGGGGGGGGGGGGGGGGGGGGGGGGGGGGGGGGGGGGGGGGTCTTTTTAAAAAGGGCGACAGCCTTGAGATATCATCGTGGAACTGACCACCCCCCCTAGGTAGGTCAGAAATTTTAACTTTAACAGCATCGAAGACAAAATCTGGCTACATGCTGTAACCTCCTCCATGTCGATTCGAGCTTATGTCTGTGTTTCAAGTTTCAACAGTTTATGTGTGTGCCAACTGAGCTAGGCCCATTTGAGAGAGAAACTTGAGAAAGAGTTTTTTATGCATGTGTGCTTCCCCTTTCAGACCTGGAGGAGTTTGTAGGGCTGAAGGATTGCGTAGGAATCCCCTTCAAGTTCATCATAATAGAGCCATTACAATTTTCATTCAACGCATCGTCGGCATAGGAGTGGCATGAGCTTACTACCGGTAGTAACGAGTTGTGTCAAACTGTGAAAACTGTGAAGGATTGGTTGTGAGCTACTCGTTATAAGCTGCTCCACACACTGTCATTGATAGGACTGAAAGAGTGTGTCGGAGTCGTCTTCTTCATCATCCAGGCATTGCATTATTCTGAAAGGATTTCGCACAGTCAGTTCCCAAGGTCCCGATCCCAAGGTCCCAGTTGGTCCCTGTCCCAGGCTGTACCGGTAGTGTAGGTCTTAGGGTCCGTAGGTTGAAGCGTCGTATGTCGGTAGGTGTCGGCTACCAAAACGTCAGAGTCTGGTACATTTCCGCCGCCGGTACCTGCAGAGGAAGTCAAGTCCCAAGTCCAAATTTGAGACTTCCAGAAACACCAACTTTGGCAAGGCAGAGCGCGAGGGCAACCAGTACCGTTCCAAAGCAATTCAAGTTATTTAACACACAGTATCAACTTTAATCATTTAATGTTTAATGCCATATACGATCAATGACAATCCCCTTCAAACTTCCAAGTTCAAAGTGCAACAGATTGGTTGTGGACCTTGTGGATTATTTCAGTACAAGGTCCTCTATGTCCACTGTTAATATTGTAATTGTATGGACTCTATGAGTCTATGGAGTATAGTTTAGTTGCAGAACAAACAGCACGTTCAAGGTGTCCTTCCACCAAGGAAAGAGTGGTGTCAGCCTCTCAGGTCATGTTCTACAGTGATATGACTTCGCACAACGTAACAACGAGAAGTTTCGCTGCCTAGTCGGGAGCGTAATCGTTCCAGTGGACTACATAGTATTTTGGCTGCAATGATGTCACGTCTCGTCATTCTACGGAGGTGTAGCCCTTTGAGCCCGGAGGCACAAGGGGTTGATTATATGGCACTGGCAGGAGGCAAAATTATGAGCTTCCAGTCCATCCCGAGGTGTTAGATGTGGTGCAAATACAGTCTATAGACTCTAGAGATTAATAATATGATGGCCGTTATCCATCACATCATGTATGGGTTTATGCGCAGGGTGATGCAAGATTGCCCCACCCTCGGGGCACTCGGTGGCGTCCGACTTGTGGTGATCGTTGCGTCCTATCATCTGTAATGCGGTAGTGGTGCAGTGGATTTCTTCTTCCTTACAAAGTTTACATGCAGCAGCTCATTGAACTTCATTCATGCTTCACCTCATCATAATGCCCGCAATGGGCCTTGATCCGCACACCCAACCAAAAGAGAAAATTCAGAAAATGCATG